GTGTGTGTGTGTGTGTGTGTGGGAGTGCAAACGAAGGGCTCCACTCAGGAGGATTTCTGTCTCTCTGCTGCCTCCTCAGGATTAACTGAGGAACTGCAGGACTAACACTCGCACTAAGACCCCTCACTGTAGCAAAACTACTGCAGTTTGAGAGCAGACAAAGTACTTAAAGTCTGTATAAATTGCAGACATGTAAACATGTAAACAGGCGATTGTTATTCCTCATATGTTCATTTAAAAACAAGTTACTGCTGATTGTTTTGGATCAATCAGCTGATCGTTTCCTTTCCAGCTGGGTTTGTAAAGATCCAGGAATCACCATCACAGCTGCTCTCCAACAGGTTCACATGTAATCATTTTAATTTAGGCCCAAATTTCATATTTAACCAACTAATTAACCATGTTCTGATTGTAAACATGTAAATCTGTAAAGTGACTAAAGGGAAAGATCTCCCTCTGCTGCACAGGAAGGAGAAACACATGTGAACGACTGGAGCAGAGCATAAATGACCTCAGGAGGAGGCTTTGGGGAGATTCACCATCCCAACAATCAGAAAGCATAAAAGAAGAGTGGGACCAAAAGGAGTATTTTCACAGACTCTGAAGTGAAATGATGATTTAAAATCAGCAGCAGGTTTGTAATCATGAAGGAGTCTGACAGAGAAATCCAAAGGTGCAATCCAAAAACAATAAAAATAATAGATTGCATTTATCAAGACCCTCAAAGCGCTTTATAATTGCACTATTCATTCACACACTGGTGGAGCCAACAGACTGACAGAAGCGAGGCTGCCCTATCGCGCCATCGGCCCCTCTGGCCAACACCAGTAGGTGGTAGGTGAAGTGTCTTGCCTAAGGACACAACAACCAAGACTGTCCGAGCCGGGGCTCGAACCGGCAACCTTCCGATTACAAGACGAACTCCCAACTCTTGAGCCACGATCGCCCCAAATTATATTCATTATGAGAACCACAGCTACACACCACCATAATTCCTCTATAATTCGTCGTCAGCGTCTGTAATGAATACTGTCAGTCACTCTCATGATTGTTGCCTGGCTCAATCGGCCTCTAAAATGCGATACGGATAACTCAGGAACACTGAGAGGAGGAATCTGTGTCTGTGACCACCACTTTCTACATCAGACCATAACATCAGCCAGCTTTTCCTGCCTTCAGGTCTGCAGTGCAAAGTAGTAAATCTCTCTCTAAGATGGCCAGGGTCTATCTGATAACTGCAAGGAGGAGCTAAGTGGCTGCTTCCTGTTCACAGACTGGAATATTTTCCACTGAGATAATAATACTGATGCAATACAGAGCCAGTTCAGTTCAATTCAGTTTTATTTATACAGCGCCAAATCACAAAAACATTCACCTCAAGGCACTTTATATTGTAAGGTAGACCCTACAATAATACATAAAGAGAAAAACCCAACAATCATATGACCCCCTATGAGCAAGCACTTTGGCCACAGTGGGAAGGAAAAACTCCCTTTTAACAGGAAGAAACCTCCAACAGAACCAGGCTCAGGGAGGGGCGGGGCCATCTGCTGTGATTGGTTGAGGAGGAGAACAGGATAAAGACAAGCTGTGTAAGAGAGACAGAGATTAATAACATGTATGGTTCAGTGCAGAGAGATCTATTAACACATAGTGAGTGAAGAAGAAACACCCAGTGCACCATGGGAATCCCCCAGCAGTCTACAACCAACACTGAATCCTCCCTTAGCTGTAATAGGTGTAGTTGT